TCTTTCTAACCCCTACCCCTTTTCATTTTCGAAGATACATTCTGCCTTTCAGAGAGTATCCCCTAGACCTTAATAGAACAAATTACTCTTAGATCCTTGTATCTCTAACCAGCATCCTGATCAATTGCTAAAGAACCAGCATGGTAGAGATAAAACCAGGGCGAGAGATGGTAAAAACTTGTGAAAACACAAGGAAATATTTAGCCCTGATGTGTGTGTTTGTTTGTATGCGTGTCTACATATACATACATACATATATATATATACACACATACACTTTATATATGTGTACAATTTATATGCATATATATGAACACTCATATACATTTTGATTTAGAATTAGTGTCACTTCTAAGAATAAAAGGATATACCTCTTTTCTAAGATATACCTAAGATATGTGATTTATGTCACAAATATTAAATAGTTTTTTAAGAGACAAGTTTTTAAATGATATTTCATATTATATAACCACAATGACCTGCCAGTTCATTGAAACTACATTCAGTTTTACCAATATTCTCCATCACATCTGGGTTGGAAGCCTTGAGGATCATTTCTGTGAGTTTGCTGACAGGCAGAGCCAACAAAGGAAACAAGCCTTCTCCCCAGTTTGACGGAAACCTCCGTCCTTCACCAGCAGTAAATAGGGAAGCCAGGGACGTCTAATTGAGAAATTGTGTGCCAGCAAAGGATTATATAAAGTCAGTGGGGCATATTTCATTCTGCTTTTCACTTTTAGCTACCTCTCTCCCTTTTCCTAGAACAGATTTTCCTCTGGCTTTGAAAGATGCTAATGGAGCGTTATTAGTCCAGGAAGAAAATTGCTCTGGAGAATCATAATGACTTCACTGCTGTGGCGACATCAAACCAGACCATTTAAGAATAATGGGGTTTTAGTTCCTGTAGAGGGAGTTGGATTGGGGAGATAAATAGCAAGTGTAAGTCCCATGACAGGTAAGACAGAAAAGGAGGACAGCTTTGGAACTTCTTTAGTTGCCGAACTTAGGTGTGCAGCCACCCCAAAGCTCTCCTGACGTCCAAGATTTGAAGAAGGAAATTAAATATTAGAGCTGACTTCAGCTCTTTCCTACCCTTCTCCTGGCTTTAGGAGGTAAAAGACTCCACAGAGAACAGAACGAAACAAAATGAAACCCCGGCACCCTCCTCTGTAAATCTAATGCCTTTAATGGCA